AAGACAATAACTCTGAAATCCAGTATAAAATTTCTTCCATCAACATACTAGTGTATGAATATTGACATATAAAAATATCCAAAAAGAAATAAATAGACGCTTGGTTTTGGTAAAAGTCCCACCCTTTTGTATAAATTATTAGGAAACTCTACTGGCAACTACCCAAACCACTTTCTTAACTTCGAAACATTGCTTGAGTAAAGGCGGCAATTATCTGCTACTAAAAAAAAAAAGAAAGAAAGAAAGCAAACTTCTAGCTTATCTGTTATCTCCTACTTAAAACCATGCCTCTAGCCTATTTTCTTGATTTATGTAATTAGTCAACTGTTTTCTAAACTGAAACATGAAACTCAAGGGACCATAGAAATTATCTAGCCCCATTTCCTCATTTAACAGATTTGCAGAGTTGTGGCAAAGTAGAGGGTGCCTGACAACCAAGTTCACCATGTCTCTCTTCTAGTTTTGTTTTAAATGTTCACTAAGGCAGAAGTTGTAGTTTCTTTGAGAAATCATAGATAAGTAACCAAGCTAGAAAAAAAAAATTGCTCAGAGTAAATTGAAGATTTTTTATTCTAAATTATCATTCTGCTACTTCATAGTATGTGTTAATACTCTTTGTACATGGAATCCGAGAGACCTCTGTAGTTGTCTGAGAGTGTAATTATCTGTAAGCTGTTGTAATTAGTTTCTCCTCAGGGAAAAGGAGTGTACCTTGGCCTCCTCCAAAGAGTATGAGTTGTCCCTCAAGTTCCAAGGACTTACACTCTAGGAGGACAACTCTGTTCCTTGGGGGAATGTCTTGTGGACCTTGAATAAGATGAGGATGGCAAAGGGGAATTTTTCTAAAAGGCATAGATAGAGCTTTAGGTGCCAGAAGCTCAGAGTTGAACCCTAATGCTGCTATTTATTGTAGGTGAATAATTTACAAAGCTAGTTTCCTTAAAAGAAAAATTAGAGTTATAAGGGCTTACCTTCATCCTCTCAAAGTGACTTAAACCTAACACAATGGTGAAAAAATATCCCCCAAAAGTCTTAAGAGTTGTTATATATTTTACTGGGGTGAAATCTGAGCCTTTTGAAATGAATCCCTTGGCTGCATTAAGTTGCTTCAAAGCATCTGAATTTCAGCCAGCTGTGGCCATGGCCTAGGAAGAGATTGTTTTTATCTTTACTTGAAACTATTTCCAACACCAACTTTCTGAAAGTCAGCTTTTAATATTAGCTTTGAGAAAGAAAGTCATGGCAGCTGCTGAGCAATCCTTTGTCCTGATGCAGATGAATTTGCTGTGACTCAAGCAACGACCGTCCTAAACAAATTGTATTATATCTTTAGCTTCACTGAAAATGGCCCCACCTTTTGCCCTATAGAGGGAATAGAAGTGCTGATTGAAACAGAATCCTAGATTGTCAAGTTCCAATGTCATTCTGCCTCTTCTTTGTCAAATGGCTGAGAAGTCATCTTAATTTACGTCATCTTAAATTAATAAATAGAAATGGGCCAAGATTAAGTAGGGTAGAAGTCAATCCAAATCTGAAGGGGACATAAAAGAGGGATACTCCAAGAATATCTAAGACTGTTGCCAAAAATACTAACCCAAATGAGAAAACCAGAAAATCGTACCAAAGCAGATGAAGAAAAAAGAGCTAACAGCAGCATACAGTAAAACTGAAGCTAAAAATAAAGATCACAGATCCACCAGGTGTGTTCTTGACACAAAGTCAATTAGAGAAGTGTGGCCACAGTTTTTTAATATTGGATATCTGTGTTCCTTCCTCTGAGAAGCAGTGCTTTATCTGTCTGAAAGCAATTGTATTCAGAAGTACTACCTGACAACTAGCTAAAATCATACTAGGTGTTGTCTGTGATGCGCCCACAAAAAAGTTTTAAGTTTCTGGTAACATTGTTAGGAAGGGAAAATACACTGCAAAGTGTATGCTGAGATCTGGAAATAAGTGACAAAGAAATGAGAGAGCGAGGAAAGTGTACAAAGTTTTAGAAGGTGAAGAGTCAAAGACCTGCTTTCTAGGGAAGGAATTGCTGAGAGTCATGAATGGGAACCTTGGTTCAACTACCTCTGGGAAGGAATAGGCTCAATCCCCAAGCAGCCCCTGGCATCTCTGGACAGGACTCAGGCAAATTATCAGTCCCAGAGCTGTCAGACCAGAAAAGCAGTGGCTCCCCGCAGCTGTCCAGAGCAAGTGATCATGACTGCAGGCAGAAGCAGTCAGTCCTGCAGCACACGCCAGGGTCTGTCCAAGGAAAACAGGGTCGTAGCCAAGGAAGCGGAGGTTCATCGATGAGATGCCCGTTACTAGGGATGGAAAGAAAACACGATGGAAACAAAAACATTTTTTTTGTTTCAGGAAAGGTTCCAGACCCAGTAAGGGGATTGTGGGGGAAACTGGATACGAGAAGAGAAAAGCAGAATAAATGCGAGAGAATCTTGAGCCTGCAGCTGGGTCTGCAGTAGGGGAACTGAGCCAGGAAGCCCCAGAGCCTTTGGTCAGGGCTCCGCTGCATGGGGCCCCTCTGACAGGACCTCACTAGGAACCAACAGTCATCAGTGTGCCGTCACAGTCCTCTATGGCTGCAGCGAAGATGGTTCAGGGCCCAGAGCAGAAGCTTTGTTCCAGTATTGGAGCTCTCACCCAAATGTCCTCTCCACAACTACTTCGTATTAAGCAGTAGATAATTCCGCCTCCTCCCCACAGATGATATTTGATAATTAATGTCTGAAGTCATTTTTGGTTGTCACGACAGAGGGTAGGTGCTACTGGCATTTGATGGGGAGAGAGCAGAGATGCCACTAAACGTGCTCCTTGCACAGGACAGGAGTTGTGTCCCTAAATGTCCATAGTGTTGAGGTTGAGAAAACTTAATATGAAGTATCCCCACCTTCGCCTCCACCACTTACTATTTCAACAACCCTATGGCACTTACTGAAAATTATCTTGTTTATGCATTTGCTTATTTATTGACTTATTTCTCCTATTATAATGTTGACTCTGATAGTTGAAACCTTGTTCTTCTTGTATACTGCTCTGTTCCCAGAACCTGACATGTAGTAGGTACTGAATAAATATTTGCTGAGGGAGAAAATTAAGAGATGAGTGAATGATAGACTCACTGCAAGAAAAAAGGCAAAAATATAAACCAAAGAAGCTTTGACTCCAA